TGGCCGCATCGCTGTCCTAAGTTAATTACTTTTACACAAAGGCGCTCCAAGTTAAAAAAAAGTATGCAATGGTAAATTCACAAAGACATTTTTTTGAGCGCACAAAGTTGTTTGGACTTAGCGTGCATCAACTGTCACGGGATGAGTGCATGTCTGGGCCTCACGCAAAAACCATGATAGTCGCCGTCTAGATGTGCATGATGGTGGACGCGGAAGTGCGGTCAGGGATGAGGAGAGAGGGGTAGGGAGAAGGAGGAGGAGGAGGTGGAGGAGGAGGAGGAGGAGGAGGAGCATGGCGACATGGAACGTGCAGATGAGTTAACGGTTGTAATCTATGGTTCATTATGCAGATGTGTCCATTAATTAACTAATTAATTAATTAATTCATAGAATAAAGGAATATCGAAGATGATAAGTTGGCACGATGTGCAGGTGCGTAAACGCTGACGTCTCGATGCCTCACTAAAGGCTACCGATGGCAGAAAGAAGAGCATCTGTGCCTCAACCACGAGAAGTCCATCCATGTTTAGGCTTCACTACTCTAACAGACTACATCATGCGATGAGGTGGTGACACTCAGAAGTTTGATGAAAGGCGCAGAAGCGCATCCACACGTAGATGCCATGCAAACAGTGAGGCACTTAATGGCGTGGATAAGACATAGCAAGGAGGAGGCCAGTGAAGAACCACCACCACCACCACCACCACCACCACCACCACCACCACCACCACCACCACCATAACAACAACAACAACAACAACTTCCCCTCTTCCTGACACGGTGGCATCAGGGCGTGGTACCGGTGGTGGTGGTGGTGTTGTTGTTGTTACTTTCCCTCCCTAAATACTAGTTCCACGTATCAGCTATTGCCCAGAGTAACACTTCGCAACATTTCAATTGTCGTTTTAGGCTTACCTTCCCACACCGCCTGCACAAACTCAAACCACTCACTCACTCACTCCCGTTGGAAGAGCGGTCGATAGATGATTGCCGCCACCACCACCACCACTACGAGCAGCAGTAGTAGTATCGATTTGCACTCATTAGCACTGATCGATGCAAAATGCAGCCACCTGCTGTTGAGTTAAGCTGGTGCGATGATGTGTGATGCTTGCATCAGCATCATTATAATTATTATTATTATCGTCGTCATCATCCATCGCCTCGGCAACGGTGACAACTTACGTGCCCC